ACTGCGGGGAACTCTGCAAAAAACGCATCTTCGCACGGGCAGCCCGTGCGTTGGCCAATTATTTAACTCGTTTTTTGCAAGGAATCTTGTGTTCATTTACAGGAGAATCGTAGCATTCGTTTCCGTTTTTTCGCTGATATTGAAAATGCTGAAAAACATGCTACAGCGCAACAATTTTTCCGGGACCTTGTTAGTGCCTTCCCAAAAGGCAAGTTTGTTTTTCGCCACGAAAAGTTTTTAAAAATTGCTTTGGTCTGATTGTGAATATTTCGACGTATTTCATTCATATTTCGGTTTACGCAGTTCCTTTCCCTGCACAGTTGTGCGAGTTGCATTAATTAACAATTTTTTTAGTGCTTTTTCTTTTTATTTTTCCGAGATTAGCAAACATGGCGTCGTGGAAAATAGATCAAAAGTTCGATTGGAACGAGCAATCTCTCTTTCGATTCATTAATTCGTTTCGATGGTAAACTGTTATTGACATATGTCAAGGCATGAAACTTGCCAGTTAAATTGCTTATAAGCGGCCCTTGAAGGAAGGCGCCATGGTTAACCATGCTGGCGAGTGGTTGCTGTTGGTAATTGTACCTTACAAGCTGCTTCTCTGGTGTTTTCATCACGCGCAGAGACCAGTTACGGGGGATTTTTTGGTTTTAAGTACAGCCTACTAGACAGAATCGTTACGCTCTTAATTTCTATTTTCCACTATTCAGAATGTTGTTTATTTATTTCCACAGCTTCCTTTACCTCGATATTGAGCATTCTGGCTATCAAAGGACAACGGCGAAAAGTGCTTGTTTTGGCTACAGGAATGTAATTTACATGGTTTTGGGCAAAATATGGATTTTTTGGAGCTGCACTTTTTAGATTATGTGGCATTCTTGAAACGCGTCCTGAAGCTCATGCAAACTGGTTATGGAACAATGCGTGAAGTTGAAATTGATATGCAGTTCGCGAAAGAAAACGAAACATATCAGATGCCTGATCCAAAAGAATACGGTAAATTGTTTTTCGACGTTTGTAAAATACCCCAGTCTCTCAGGCTAGTTTTTGTGATGAACAGCGTTTTCAGTCTTTTTAATGAATACTTTCTTTCTTTCTGTAAAGGCATGGTTCTCAAGTCTCTGACTGCAGTGCTTCATGTCAAGTATTACATAAGATAGCAAATCCCTCTACGATTCGTTCATTCGTTTCGGTGGTGAATTGGGTACTAGCATATGCCGGGAATTAAATTCACCATCAGCTTGCTTGTAAGCAATCCTGAAAAAAGGAGCCATCGACAACATTGACACCGGCTGGTAATACTGATATTTGTTACTAATCGAGCTACTTCCCGAATGCCACTACATTTTGTAAAGGTCGTGTACGAGGGATGAGAGGAGAGGAAGGACGGGGAAGGGGGGGGGGGGAATTAACCCGCACATATAACGGTTAATTTCGCCGAAATCTTCAAATATTAAAGCCATTTCGTTCTAGACTCCGGCTCGGAAGTGGAAAATGTCACTGTTGCACATGTCCAAGAAGTTTTGGAACATGCGTATCCAAATGGTTTATCTGTTGCGGTTATCGCCGAGTGAGTTACAGCTTTTGAAACCTTTTTTGAAAATTTGTCGAATTGTAGTTCTCTTTTTCTGTGAATTCTTTTTCTAGAGGAACTGTTTCTTTGGTAGTCTACTGGATTAGCCAATTTCCTCTTTTGCTGTAGTCTTAAAAACTCAGAAAAAATCCATTATCTGTTCGACAGATAATGGATTTTTGATTTAAAATTTTCTTTTTTCTGGGAGTGGGAGGGGGATGGTGGGGACGGAGGGAGAGTGATGGATTTTATACCTCAAATATCTTGAAGCAAAAATGTTTAGATCACTGCGTTGTACAGAATCTGAGGTGGGAGAATTCCTGCGCGAGCTCGAAACATCGGGTGTTGTAAAGAAACTGCAAAATGAATGGATCCGTGTGGGAACCGTCGATAATCGTAAGTGTTTAATGTAATCATTGTGTTATCAGTTTTGCTTATTTGCAGATTTCGTATTAATACTATTCCTGAAGTAAGTATTAGCTAATAGTGAATAAGTACTAGCTTATACTGGAAAATACGAGGCACAGATTTATGGTATAAATGAATGATTAATAACTATTTTTAAGGAGTATCGAACCATTAAGCTGTATACGCCTTAACTCAGCACCGCAAGAAGTTTTGATTAAAAAAAAAATTTGCTGGAAAACTACTTAAAATCTCACCAGAATTTTCTCATTTTTTCATTTTTAAACTTTCAGAGTAATGTTTTATCCTTAAAATTTGCACATGTTTTATCCTTAATTTGCACAATGGCCTTGCAACATCACTTCTGGAAATTGGTCTGTTCAGATAGATGCATTTATCTGTTTGCTTGAGAAAGGCTGACTTTTTCGAAGTTTCTTCGAAATCCCGCTTGAGAATGGTCTCTCATGGCATTCTCCCGAATGCTTCCGCTTCTCAGAGAAAGTGGAAAACTGGGAGGAAGATAGGAGTGATTTCTGACTTTCATGTTTGAAATTTTGCAGTGTAAATTACAGATTGATAAAAATTGGATATGTATTGAAAACAGTGAATTAGAACATAGGTATTAATCACTAGGGAATAGTTGAGAATCATCAGTACAGTCCGTTTACTTCAGCCATTTGAATGAAAGTATTTGTAATGTAAATGCTGTTTTTTACAGTTGAAACGTCACGGATTCCAATAAGTTTTGGCATGCGTGAGCATCCACCCACTGTTGCAATCATCACATGCCTGTTTGTCGAGAAACAAAGCATTGATGCGATCATCGATGACAGCAAAACCGTTCATCGTTATCGCTCAGGCGGTGATTCCAATATCTATACGCTCGGTTGGATCGGCAAACATCGTGTTGTTGCTACCAAATTAGCTGTTATTGGTAATTGTTCAGCTGTTGATTTTTGTTTTTCGTTGATATTCCGTGAATCCTTAATAATAATAATAACAATAATAATAATAATAATAGTAACAATGATAACGACAATAGTAATAATAGTAGTAATAATAATGGTAATAATAATGAACGTGATAATAGTAGCTGTAGAAGTCGTGATAAGTAATATTATATTAGGAAAAGAAGTAATCGTGATAATTATTACTGTGTTATTGCCTTTCTACTTATGTAACAATTACTATAAAAAAATCATACAATAATTGTTACATAACTAGAAAGTATAGAAGAAATAATAGTAACATTAGTCCAGTAAATGCTGATAACAGTGATGCCATTAACAACAATAATATTATCATTATCAATAATAATAACACCATTAATAATAGTATAATCTTGATGGTCTTGCATAATAGGTATTGACGAAATAACTTTTGCTCTTAGGTCATCAATATATAAGTGATAATCGGTGTACTACAGGTGATAGCCGCGAAGCAACAACTTCAGCTGGCTCAATAACTACCCGTCTTCTTGGCAACTTCCAGCACGTAGAGCATGTTTTTATCGTTGGTGTTGGTGGTGGTGTTGCACATTACACGGATCCCGCACAGCATGTACGTCTTGGTGATGTTGTGGTCAGTACACCGGATCCAAATGCATATGTATTTGCGCATACTTACACGGTTGATCGATCAACAGAACATGTGAACGGTTTTGTGGTCCGAAAATGGAACCCCCAGGACAACATCATTGCATTTATTGCCAAAAATATGTAAATTTTTTCTTATGTTTATATAAAGTGATGTTTTTTTTTTAAATGTCGATGTGCATAGCGCATTGTAAGTGCTGTTGTCATGCAGCAGGTCGAGGGTTTGATTCTGCCTGTACGACAGTGGTCAGTCCATCTGCAATTCGTTTATTGGTTTCGATGGTAAATTGGTACTGGCGTATGCCAAGAAGACAAACCAGCCGTCAACATGCTTGTAGGCAACCTCGAAAAGAAAGGGCCACCTTCAGTCTTGCCAACGAGTGGTTGCTGTTGACATTTACGACCGCTAGGCCATTGCAGGAGTCTCTCTCCCTCATAGGAAGTGAATACGACATTCTTCTAGGCAACCTTGAAAAGAAAGAGCCATTTTCCGTTTTACCAACGAGTGGTTGCTACTGGCGTTTACGACCGCTAGGCTCTGCTTCACGAATGTCTTCCCCGCATAGAATTTTAACAGACTTTCATTGTTTAATGATTTTCAGGGATGATAAATTGATGGCCGAATGGGATGCAGTGACCAATGCAACAATTGAACGTTTAAATGCTTCCAACAATGACATGAGTTTTTCAAGACCACCACCGCAAGCCGATCGACTTGCTGTTCCTGTTGGTGAGTTTTTGAAAAATCTACGCCAATATGAATTTTTTCATGTTTGGTGCACATGTGGCATTCGTATTTTAGCATTGCCCATATCTTCATATGTTTTTTTCAGTATGTATACATTTACATCGGAATGCATTTTTCGGTTTTTTTTTTGACATGTGCAGTCATTTCATCTTCCCCGTTTAGTCTTTTTCCCGCGCCTATATACGGCGTGAATCTAGGAGGTAGTATTGGAACCTAGCTGGAGGTATTCAGCCTAGAATCTACGAACTTGACAAAGCTATGTCCGGCGGCGCGTGAGGGCATTCCAGTAGCATCACTGACACGCAATACCTGCGCTTAAATTGTAAGTTGTAGCTCAAAAACAAATGCTGTTTTGTAAGAAAATATTTTTTCCACTTGAAAACATGTAATGTATACAGTATGTTCTTTAAGATATAAGTTTTTATGCGTTTTTTGCAGCAATGCAATGCGAAAAACGCATGTTGACGAGAGGTTGTCTGTGTG